TGGCGTGGATAATTATGGGTGAACCAGATAAAGCCAAATGTAGTACTCCCCTGATTGAGATCCTACAATATTATGTAGGTATGTTAGATAATATTGGACATGATAGTATGAGAGGCTGGCACCCCCAGCCGTTGAAAATGCAGATAATGATTAATTACTGAATCAATCTCTATGGAGGAAGTTAGGGAGGCGTTGCAAGTTATTTGTAAAACTAGTGCCCCAGGCCCTGACAGAGTAACTATTAACAATTTATGAGAAATCTTTAATTTGGACTCAAATTCTCACACATTTTTAATATTTGGTTTTTAAATATGCAGATCCCTGACTATTTTAAAGAAAATAGAACAATTTTAATCCCCAAGGTACAGGATGAGGAAGAATTAGCTAAACTGTCTTCTTGGAGACCACTGACTATTAGATCTGTTTGGATTAGACTGAATACAAAAAGTTTAGCCAAGAGGTTGACAACTGCAGTTGTCATATGTAACAGCCAAAAGGGATTTATTTCAGCCCCAGGGCATGAAAAGAATATTTCTATTTTAGATCATTTAATAAAGAGCAAAACCGAATGGGGACAAGTTAGCTTTGGCCAAATCAACAACAAAAAAGCTATCTTACTCCATAACGGACGTTAATGCCTTCTTGCATTTTGTCAGAATGAAGGGTGGCTAATACACCCATCAGCCTCAAGATCAAAGACACTTACAGGCAGCAGAGGTGATTCAAGACAATCGTCCACCCTAAGCAAAACTTCAGCACCTCCCTCACTGCTAACACCCTGTCAAGGTTCCTCCCCCACTCTGAACTCCAGGGTACAGATGTGGGGACCTGCATGAAAAACCTCCTAAGCTTATCTTTACCAGCTTAGGTCAAAACTTCCCCAAGGTAAAAATATTCCACCCGTTGTCCTTGGACTGGCCACTACCACCACCAAACTAATACTGGTTACTGGGGAAGAGCTGTTTGGACGCGTCCTTCCCCCCAAAATACTTCCCAAAACCCTGCACCCCACTTCCTGGACAAGGTTTGGTAAAAAGCCTCACCAATTTGCCTAGGTGACTACAGACCCAGACCCTTGGATCTTAAGAACAATGAACAATCCTCCCAACACTTGCACCCCCCCCTTTCCTGGGAAATGTTGGATAAAAAGCCTCACCAATTTGCATAGGTGACCACAGACCCAAACCCTTGGATCTGAGAACAATGAAAAAGCATTCAGTTTTCTTACAAGAAGACTTTTAATAAAAATAGAAGTAAATAGAAATAAAGAAATCCCCCCTGTAAAATCAGGATGGTAGATATCTTACAGGGTAATTAGATTCCAAAACATAGAGAACCCCTCTAGGCAAAACCTTAAGTTACAAAAAAGATACACAGACAGAAATAGTTATTCTATTCAGCACAATTCTTTTCTCAGCCATTTAAAGAAATCATAATCTAACACATACCTAGCTAGATTACTTACTAAAAGTTCTAAGACTCCATTCCTGGTCTATCCCCGACAAAGACCAGCATATAGACAGACACAGACCCTTTGTTTCTCTCCCTCCTCCCAGCTTTTGAAAGTATCTTGTCTCCTCATTGGTCATTTTGGTCAGGTGCCAGCGAGGTTACCTTTAGCTTCTTAACCCTTTACAGGTGAGAGGAGCTTTCCCCTGGCCAGGAGGGATTTCAAAGGGGTTTACCCTTCCCTTTATATTTATGACACACCCCCATCCCTGAAACTTGTGCAGCCTGGCCAGAGGCTGATGCAGGACACCCGGGCCTGGGGCTGCAGAGGCTACTGCAGACCCCCCTGGGACAGGAATCAGCTAACATCTGGGCACTGGCAGGAGGCAGCTCCCAGCCAGTAGGGACCTGTTTAATGGGCAGCGCAGACTTCCCACCCTGCACAAAGCTACGCGGGCTGGGGGTACAGATCACCCCTTGTACAGGGAGCAGTAGGCTCCCTCCTGGACAGAGTGAGGATCACTGGATCTCAGCACCTACAGCCCCAGCCTGCCACAGCCCCAGCCCCAGCTTAGCCCCACGCTCCCAGGCCTCCACACCATCCCAAAGCCACCTGTCTGACCCCCATAATCCCACCCCACACCTGGCCCCTGGCACTCGACACCCACAGGCCATGCCAGCCTGCACTGCCTATGCAGTCCCCCACACTCCACCCCTGCTCTGCAACTCCTATCCAACCTCCGCACCCTCAGCCCACACCTTTCCGGAGGAGCTCCTATCCTGCACTGTAGTAGCACCTCCAGAACCCAGCCACAGTGAGGTTGAAGTGGCAGAGGCAGCCATGGCAGGGGCTGCGTGCTGCCTGGGTGCCAGGCCCACATGCTGACAGGGAACAGGGTGCGTCATTGTATTTGTGGCCAAAGTCCCAGGAGCACTCGTGGTGCTGCCAGGAGCAGCCCTAAGCCACTCAGTACCTGAGCCATGATCTTACTGCAGCGGGGGCAGGGAGTGGTTGAGGAGGGGTCAGGAGTGTTTCCCCAGCAGCCCAGCTGAGGGCTGCTTCCTGCTCCTTGGAGTGCCTGTTGTGGGATACCCCCTCCCCAAGGCAGCCCCACCAGCCTCCTCCTCATAAATCGGCAGTGCTAGGCTGTGGCCTAATTTGCTTATAGCTAGAGCAGCTCCTGACTGGCAGCTATCAATACCCTTCGGCATAACAATACTTAATTGGGAGGCACTGTGGACATTGTGGACATATAACTATATTTCTAACCTTTACAGGTCTCTTTATTAGTCAGCAAATAAAAAGAGATTCACCTTAGGAAAATGCAAGTTAATACAGGTGGGGAATAATAATTTGAAAACAGATATTCAGTGGGTGGGTCAAACCTGGAAAGCAGCCTTTCAGCAGTGAATGGGAGGGACAAAGAAGGAAATAAGACAATAGTGCATAGTGTAGTATGGCAGCAAAAAATAAAAAATGTCAATATGCTTTTATGCTGCATACAAGAAGACATCGTGTTCTGGAGTAACACGTTATAATCTCTCTGTGTATGACTCAGTTGAGACAACACCTGAAATATTTCTTATTACTTCAATGTCAGGAAATTTGAACAATAGCCGGGTGCTGAACAGATTAATATGTGAAGAATGATTAAAATAACTGTCTACTACATAGCTTAGCTCAGTGATTAAGCAGGGATGTATTAACCGTTCTACAAGTATATGAAAGGTGTAAACACCAGGCATGGAGAACAATAATTAGGATAATGTAAGGAGGTCACCAAGGATAATGGATTCAAATAAAGAAAAGGGATTCTACAGTATCAGGAAAAGTGCTTTTGGAGCGATTGTGACTCTATATCTATTGCACTCCTTTAGAGAAGGCACAACGTGCCTCAGGTGTCACGTGACCAGGATTCATCACCGAATTTGGTGCGCTGGTTGAATCATTAGCTTCCCTGGCTTGGGTCAGGTACTGATGGGGAGTAAATGTAAACACTGATCCATGCCCCCCACCCTCCATTGCAATTATAAGCAGTTACACAAGTAGGCCCACTGTCTTCAGTGGTATTGTTTTTGTGGATAAATGGTTATCCATGTAAGGGCTGAGTGATCTAGTCCTGAAATAGTATAGTGACTAACAGTGCAACTTATTAGACCGCTGAGTAGCCTCCCTTATGAATTAGTGGAAGACCCATCACTAGGGATATTTAAAAATAAATCAGAAAATGTACTGAAAATAAGAATACTAAATTTCATAATCCTGAAGTAATAAATTCCATTCAAGAAAAGTTAGATAACTAAATCCCTATTTCGGCACCTAAATAAGTAAGAGATCTGCAATTTCAAAACTACCACTGAAGACAATGGATTTATATGTCTAATTTTAGGAACACAAGTTTTAAACTTTTGGCCTTAGTGCTGTTTATTTAGGGGGACGGTCCTCCCTTTGGCCAACTGGCATTTATGTGCTTCTTTCAGCTAGTATATAAAATATTAAAGAACGCAAGCATTATAATAAAGAGCCTGTGAAGCTCACCTTAAAATTGTAATGCCTCTATAAGGTAGACAGAGTATACAATTCATAGATATATTTACTATTTGAAAGAAACCCAGCTACATAGCTCAGAGTTTACATACCTACTTTGAAAAATATGCAAGAACCAGCAGGGAAATTACTGAAGATACATCTTAAGCCTATTTCCATTCACATTGTGTCTTTTCATAGCACCCTCTTAACTATGCTACCGGAGGCTGCACTGTTACCTCAGATTCCAATACAGCCCATGTTCACCTTCTCCCTGTGTCTGCAAGAGAAAGGCAAAGTTAATCAACAAGAAAATTTGTATTCACCCACCAATCACAGGTAATATGAGCACAGTTTCTTAATTCTGAAGCTATGTAAAAACACAAAGTAGGGGCAGTTATAGCAATTTAACAAGCAACAGTGATTCTCATCTTCTGAGCATTTCAGGTCATGTACTGTCCCTTTTTTCAGATTATAAAAAAAATCACAACCGTTTGACCATGTAGTAGTTGAGAAAAACTTCATCTTCTTTCCTCACTTAGGCTGCTACAGCTGAAAACGCTGCCACAACCCTAACATACACCTTTCTGGCACTAATTAGACAATGCACAAATAGATTCTGTTTAATAAGAAATATTTTTCATGCACATTTTTTTCATACACTCTGAGAGCCACAAGGTGGGGAAGGTCAGGGGTCATAACTTTTATTGGCCCAACTTCTGCAGGTGGGAAGGACACGCTTTGGAAGATCACAGCACTCTTCTCTGGGGCCGGAGACAGAACCACAGTCTGTCAAGGCAGTGCCATGGCCTAAGCTCTGGGGGAGCTAACCACTGGAACCCCACCCTGCGCGCGCCGGTTCTTCGGCTCTGAATCCTCGCGCAGCTGCGGCGCGCGCTCCAGCAGCGAGGGGCGTGGCCTCGGCTGCACGATGAGGTAATCGGCCCTCAAACTCCCCCCCGCACAAAACTCCGCCCTTGCGCGCTCTGCCCAATGGGCGGGTAGGGGAGGAGTCGGCCTCGCTCTGGTTTAGGCAGCTGCTATATAACAGTGTCTGGGGGATGTTCTTTCCTTTTTTCCTGCGGAGCGTCAGAGTTGATACCTCAAGTGGCGGGTGAGTCTGGGGTGTTCTGTGCCTCCGGAGCGGGGAGGGAAGAGGCTGGGCTGGTCCGGTCCCTGTTTTCGGGAGGCTTCGTCTTAGGCTTGTCCAGGAGCTCTTGCTGCGTTCCCCCCGGGGCGGGCGGAGCGGTCGGGGCGGGCCGGCTGCACCTGCCGAGGCCGGGTTGTGTGACTCACGGCGGCGGCTGGATGAAGGCTGCGGAGACTACAAGTCCCAAAATGCACCGCTCCTCTTGAGCCGCCGCGTGCCCGTGGCGCAGTGCATGCTGGGGTTGGTGGTCCGCTGAGCCGCGCAGGCCGGGCTCAGTCGCTCGCAGCGAGGCTGCGTGATTGGGCGCGGCGGGGCTGATCCGGCTGAAACGTGGCTTGGGCGGTGCGTCCCGGCTGCTGCCTCCAGCTGTGCGGGGCGCTGCGTGCGGGGCGGCGCCGCGCTCTGCCGCTTGGCGCGGCCCAAACGCGGTGTCACGCGCCGCAGAGGGAGCGCGGAATAACCTGGGCCCGGACAGCGGTCTGCTCCCGAGCAGTACCAGACAGTTCGCCCCTCTTCCTCCTGTTCAGGGCTGGAGCTGTTCCCCGCGACATCCAGCAATTCGTGCTGGAAGCAAAACAGGCGTTTTTATGTTCATCATCTCTGGTCCTGTGAAACTGAGCTGTTACTGCTCCGCTTTATGATGCGTGGAGTTCACACTTGCCCAGGCATCTGTATCAATCCTGCCACTTTCCTACAAGTGTAATATGATACTCGTAGCTGTGTGTGCGTGGAATAAACTTGCTTTAACTATGTACGTGTGTTGCTGTAGTGCTATTAAGTTGAAAACTACCACTGAAGAGTATTTAAGAGTATCTCTGAAAGAAATTGGTAAAAATCATTAAGGAAATTACGAAATATAGCAGAGAATGTTATTTAATATTGACAGTTACATATCTGATTGAATTAATCAATTTAAATGGGCTGTTTCATGGATCCTCAGTGGTTATAAATGAATGCTATACACTGATAGCTTGAATTCCTAATCCTTATGGTTGTTGAGGTATTCCATGTTGAAATCCCCTTTTAGTGTAATCGTACAGTCATGACTCCCACCCAGTATAATTTAGTGGCTGATGCTTGAGTTACTATACCTAAAACCAGAGCAGTACACAAACTGAAGTCAGCTGGGACTCTTAGTTTGCAATATTATAAATTAATCTTTAACTTTAGGGATTTGAGACTACAGTCAAGATAAGTTACACATATTAGAGTTTGTCAAACTTTATGCCTTTTTTCCCCAGCTCTGATATCGTCTCACTCACTTGAATTGGCCTAGTTCTCTTATATGTGGAACTGGCATATTAGCTGTGACAGCATCAGTGCACGCGTAATTCTAGCTGTACTGGGACTCTACATACCTAAGGTGTTTGACAGGATAAAAGGCTGCTAATTTACAGTTCTGAACCACTGCTCCTCAGTTTCCCTTCCCTTGCAAGCAAAGAGTACTGTGAATGAAGGAAGCTCTTCAGGAGACTTCAGATAAGGGAGGGAGCAGAGAGCAGGTGGATGTTACTCCTGCTTCCCTACTTCTGGAAAAATACCTGAGCAGTGGTTTTTCTGGAGGAGAGGGTGGCAAAGGAGCAGCAAGCACAGAGCTTCAGAGCTGAGACTCTCTGGGCTCCTGAAGGACAGTGCGGGGTGCTACAGCAGCAGCCTTGGGAAAAGAAGGGCTCCAACAAGCAATAATTGGGAGGTGGTTGTATTGATTTGGGAGAGTAGGATGAGCAGTGTTACAAGTGTGTGTGGGCTGCTTTGATTGAATATTGAGGCAGCTGGCGTGTGAACACCAAAATGTGGAACCACTAGTGTGTAAGACTTTTTGAATTAAGATTATTCAACTGCAACAGGACACCCTCCAACAATTAATCTGTGAGATTGCTGGGTTTGAGATACATAGCTGAAACATACTTAAGTAGATTCTGTACTTGTCGATTATGGTGTGACACACACCAAAATACAGTATGGGTATTCCACATTTTGTTATTTTTCACACATTTTTGTGGCCTGTCAATTGGGAGATGGGAATGTTGAAAGGTATGGAGAAGACTCAACAGCCTCTCAGTTTGCAGAGAGGAGGAACCAAAAACATTTTACATAATAACACATTTAAAAGTTGATCTGTCCCTTAAAGCAGAGTCACCTAATTTAAATAACACCCATTAGCCGTTTTGTTAAACCCACTACTATTGTGTGTAACTCTTAAGATTATGATATCTGGCAGATTTTTTTTTGTTTTGTTCTTTGTCGAGGTTTTTTGTATAATCAGTTGCCATGTTTGTGCAGGTCTTTTACACAGCAACAGAACACTTTTTGTAAATCTGCAAAAATTAGCTTGGGGAATAAAGACTAGTTATTAGCAGAAAGTACTTTTAACATTTCTTTTAACTGTCTGGATTTTTCAAGTAGATAGTGCATATAACTAGTGCTGTCACAATTTTGTTTGTTCTAGGAACTATGGAGATAAACTTTATGGTGATATCCTGGAAGTTGTGCAGAATAATTAAGGTATGACTCTGAGAATGTTTCGAATTTCCTTGGGCTGGAAAAGGCACAGTATTTTTGGGTTTGGTCAAGATTGAACACTCCAAAGTGCTTCAGTTTCATAGACCGCTCTTCCCGTCTTCATCTATTTGAAAGTAATTCCCTCTTACAGTATGTGCCAGGGCGTCAGTTACTTTGTCACAGTATTACTGGGTAGAGCCGAAGAAAAGATAGTTACGGTAAATTATTGGACTCATTCCACATAAGTTTCTATTTGTCAGCTCTCCAGCATCTTACTGCTTCTGCTTACCTGCTCTCAGTTGAGGAAAGCACTTTGGTGCTATTACCAACACCGTACCCTATATTCTGGACTCTGGAGCATCTGTTTATCCTGGCACTATGTTGTGTTTAGGTTTTAGACCTGTTCTACACCTAAAATTTAGGTCAACCTAGCTACATTGCTCAGGGCTGGGAAAAATTTCACACCCTCTGCAGTGTACTTAGGTTGACAGAAGAAGTCTTGCATTGACCTATTTACTGCCTTTAGAGGGGATGGACTTATTACAGCAATGGAAAAACTCCATCTGTCACTGTAGTAAATATCTACACTACTGAGGTGTGGCTGCAGCTGCAGTAGTGTTAGACATACCTTTAGGGTTAGTATGTGAATTAGCCATATGAACTAAGCCAGGTAGTTCCGTCATCTGCAAGTATCTGAGCACAAATAGCTTTACATATGTGGCAGTCCTATTGAGTGAGTTATTTTATGCATAAGAGTTTGCAGGATTGGGGCCTAAGTGTGTATCTGATATGTCTTGGCTTTTCAGAAGTCCCCTGTCATTGCATAGGTAGACAATAATTCAGGTTAACATAATACACAGTGTTAATTTTGAGTGTCCATAGACTAGATGTCAACTTTCTCTGACAAATCAGCTGAAGCTTTGTTGTGACTGGCTTAGATTATAAATTCTTTGGGGCAGGGAATGTTTTACTCTTGAAAACCGTTTTTAAGATGCAATATGATGTGGTGTTGTATTACCACAAAGACAGCATAAGTATTCCCATATTATAAAACTTGAATTTACTATTGATTTTTCTACATCAGAATCTGACCCTTTTCTGTTTAATTTTAACTGCAGCCCTTCATGAAAACATCAACAGTTCTAGAAGACTATATGATGTACAATTGTGGATGTTCCTGAATGTTTAAGAAGTATGTTTGTGAATGGTCAAGTGGAGGAATAATATGAAGATGGGGATAAATGGATTGGCAAAAATCTAGACTTTAATGCATTTGTTTAGTTTAATCCATATTTAACTAAATAGTTGAGGTAAAATTGTTACTTTCAGTCCTGTGAGGTATCACATGGTCCTATCTTGATATTGGGAACAGTTGAGAGATTCATGGGAGTAGATGTGGTGGTGTAGTTTATTTGAATTGTTTAAGACCAATACTGTGGGAGATTGTAAACCATATCCATTTGTGGAATGGCCCCACTAGGCTTTACAACCATGTTAACTCATTATCCATTAACTTGAATTATCTAACTCAGGATAGAAGTTTAGTGTTCTCAGACTCTTAAGAGAGTGAGAACAAAAATGATCTCAAAGATTTTTTGTTGGTGGTGAATTCAAATCTATCACAGAAAATGAACATATATTGTGGTGTGCAGTTTTAATAAAGATTATGCACACTTATATGCAAACTAGCTGTGGTTCTCAGGGTCTTGGCCAGTGGCCCTGAGTGGTGCAAAACTTGGACCACTTTTTTTATAGAATTTTTATGCTGGTTAACAAGAGTATCTAGTATTTCCCCTTCCTGACAATGCTTGAGGGGAAAGTAACTTTGTTTTGTTAGGTCACTTTCAAAATGCTGTGTTATGCAATATTTATTAGTAACACTTTAAATGGTTGGTTTATCCTTATTTCTAGTGTGACTTATTAGCAAGTATCCAGAGGAGAATGAATGAATAACTGACAGCGCAGTTGGGATATAAAACTACTTGCAACTCTAGTGCTACTAAGACAGGTACAATTGAAAAATACTCTTCTGATATTTTGACACAATACAATATACTAATCTTCAAAGCATTAATACTTTTTCAAATACTGTAAAGCGTGGGACATAGCTAAGTTATAGAGTAAGCTGTCTCTCTTTGTCAATTGAACCTTCGAGTAGTCTTTCTTGTGAACTGCCTATACATTCTTGCCTCCCTTTCTATAAAAAGTGATTTTGATATTTCTAGCTTATTAAGCAGTTCCAATCTGTCTGGGGTTTTTTGTTTTGTTTTTAAATCAAGACAAGATGTCTAAGTGCTTTCCTTTGTCAGGGCAAAAATAGTGTACTGATACTTTTCTTGATTTTAAGGTTTTTTTGGTGGGGTTCCCCCCCAACAGACTCTATTGTATTTATAAGTTGCAGTGCCTTGTATTGATAAAGGTATCTGGACCAAATGGAAAAAGGGCACTGTTCAACTTCTTGAGAAATAATTTCATTCTAGGATAGCATCTAAACTGAGTTATAGTTCTCACATGTTCATTTTGGTATAGTGTTCCAGTATACCAAAAAGTGTCTAATTTTTAAAGTGGTCTATCAGTGATGAACCTATCCCGAACCTGACTTGCTGATGAGAAATTTTATACGGATCTGGCTTCTGAGATGAGACCACCATAAAAGAGTTAACCTGGTTACACCACTGTTCTATGCACTACTTAGGAAAGTATCTAATGTCAATTGATGCTGTTACTCAAACTGTCCTTTTTGTGCTGTACTAGCTGTACATGCAGTCCTATGCAGTAATCACACTTGGGGCTGTACTGCACTGATTGTGGTACATTGATGTCTGGAAACCTATCCCAAAATTCCTGGCAAGGCTTGTTGGTGTGCTGCATTCTGGACACTTTGCTCAGGATTCTTTTGGCAAATCAGGGAAATCCTAGTAGGGGGGGTCAAATCCCATAATTCCCAGAACATTCCTGGTAGTGAAGAATAGAGACTAGGCTGAGATTTTCAAAAGAACTGAAGAGTTAATTGTCAGTTGTATTTGTTTATCAGAACTTCTCTGCTTAGTCAAGAGGTTTGAAGATTAGTTAAAATACAGTCCTGTGGAGTATGTGCGCATAGCATTGAACCAAATCAGGAGAAAAAGCCCTATGGCAAATAGCTTGCATATATAGAGGCCAAAAGCATGGGTAGATCCTTAGGGACAAGACCAAATTGACTGGGCTCTGTAGCACAACTACGGGGACCCTTGTGTTGGCATTTATACTTTGTCCCACTTCCAGGAGCACATCAGAGATTTCTAAAGCTAACATTCATAAATAAAACCCCAATATCAAATTTCTGAGTTGGTGTAATCCATACTACATCTGTAATATTTTTCTTTTCTGTTTTGGATGAGATGGCTTTTAATCTAAGGGAAAATGCAGTCCCAATGTAACTATCCCAGTGGAAATGGGATGGAGTATGTGAGTGGTGAACATAAGGGTAGGATGTTAAGATGTGGCGTGAGACACAATTTGGCCCAAGTGTTTACACATAAAGTAATTACATAATCCTAATTTCCTGTGCAGTCAACTCATGCATCTGGACAGGTAGCAGACTAGTGGGAAATGTGTCACATACTCAACAGTTGCTCTAGGGCCGCTAATAAATGAACATAATACCTTTGGTAGTATTCAGTTTCACCAAACTACTGTGCAATCTGTCTTGTTGCAGAGTTCTCTGAAGGCTGACTCAATATTAAAGGTATGTATTCTAATAAAGGTTGATGTTGATGAAGTATAAGTAATTCTGGTCTGATCAATGATGATACTATCCCGAACCTGATTCCTTGATGAAAAACTCATATACGGATCTGGCTTCTGAGATTAGACAACCATGATTCATATTGCTTTTTCTAAACACTAGAGCTGTGTGAAAGTAGTATTTCAAACAAGTAGATTTTGTTTACTTGGTAGACCATGTATTGACTGAAAATTTGCCTATTGTATCCACATTTACTGTTTTCCACAAGGCATGATTGCCTTTGTTTTCTTCTAAAACTGCACTGTTATTCCCCACTTCAATCTGATTTCTGAACTTGTGGTGATGCATGGACTGTTGCATGATCAGTGGCTCGTTATATGTACTTAAATGGTATTTGGTTTGTGTCCTTTCTTTTCTAATAGGATATAATTGATTTATTGTTCATGAAATATTTGATATTTCAATCTAGGATGAGGCCACTTCAGTTTGCATTTCTGTTGTAGTAATAAAGATTAAAATTGCATTGAATACCTGGACAGTGCAATAAAAGTGGCTGGGATGTAGGCCTTTAATTTAGTAATGCTGGCTGTTTAAGCCTATTTGGGATTTTTATTGTTCATTGGCTGACAATTAACTTATTCTTTGGGAGTTCCCTGCAGTTCTAATCTCTGAAGGATAGGAAAACAGGAATTTTAGTACTCTCTAGTGTCATGATCACATTTGTTTACTTGTTTACCCAGCCTTACAAAGGTGCCAAATCATATGTGAGCAAGAAAAGTAGATCTTTTAGGATAATAAAGATGTGTAATGATGGTGTTATATTTTCAACTCCAGTTTGCAGAATGCTTATACTGATGTAGTATGTAATTAATACTACATCATAATAAGACTTCAATAAGAAAGGGTGAATAGATGTTAGATTGTCACATTGAATGACATTGGCACATTTCCTTGCCTAATCTAAGAATTAAAAATGTCTGATTTACTAACTGAATCTTTTTTGAACAGTGAAATGGTGGAAAATCTACAAGCAGATGCATTTAGTTATGCAGGTATGTAATTGAAGAAAATGCACCCTCTGTTGAAAAGTGCCTTGTATTGGTAATTTTGGGTTTCTCACTTCGCAGATACCTGTAGGCTTAACTTGGTCAGGTAGCTGATCTCAATTTGTCCTAAACTGAAAGGACATCCCTCCTCTGTCCAAGGCCCTTCATATGTCAGTAATCTTAATTAGCCTTTGAATGAATCAACACTGTTCTTTTCTAATCTGTAGAGGTCACTCTGAAATGTCAGAGTGCTTTACTTCTATGGGCTGAGCATATTGCTTGCACTGTTTTTGGTTGGTTTTTTAACTTGAAAATTTATGAACTAGAGAACTTATACACTTCTAAGTATTGCACTTTAAATGTGAATTGAATTGTAATTTATTGAGGTTTCATAATCCTATTCTGAACCTGATTTTGTTGCTGAAAAACTATGGATCTAGCTTCTGAAATAAGATCCAGAGATCACAGGAATATACTAAATTTTAAATTTGTCTATTGGATAAATCTACCAACTATTTAACCTTAAAAGCACACTTTCAGGTGGAATAGCTTCATTTGCTTGAGAATAAAATGTAAAATGTCTTGTAACATATTTTTTTCTTGTGCATTCAGTTTCTCATGTAAAATAAGCTGTTTTATTTAGTTTGTTTTCCCTTTTTAGTTATGAGGTGGAATTTTTGTATCATCACCTGACAAGTGTGGATGGTATCACTGGAAGAAGTCCGACACCTGAAGATATTCACATACCAAGATTTTAACAACAACAAAAATTTACCAGGTTTATGCTTCTGAAATAGTTTGTGGAATTGTTTGGTAGTTAATATTTCTAAAATGTCACATGGCACAGAACCAGTTGGTTTCCACTTCTTTTAAAACTGTGAGCAATCATGTTTTGTGGAAATCTGAAGGCTTTGCCAAAAGTGAAGACCCAGCTCCCTCTAGTGAAACTAAAGCTAGAAACTGCATGTGGAATCAAAGAAGAGAAAATTCAGTTTTGCTAGAATCAGTCACATTTAACATCTTATGTTTTCACACATGACTTCTCTCAGGAGATTATGGTGGCTGAAGGGAAATAGAACATACTTTAAAACTTTTTAAAAAGTGTAGCATAAAAATTAATTTTTTTGTTTTATCAGGAAAGGCTCCCCTGCTCAGTAAAGAAAATACTAAGGGCAACAAACAATAAGCTTCAGTAGCAGGGTGGAAAAAACTCCCAGTGGCTAGCTGGTCTCCTGTGAAGGAAATCAATCACAATTTGCTATTACTGAGGAAAAAACTTATCTCTAACAGTAATAAAATAATAAATAGTCAATGGAAAACCCAGGCACCCCGTGTAAAAAGATGGAGAGAGTACTAATGCAGAAAATCATAGTAATGAGTCTTCCCCCTTTGAGTACAATATCATTCAGGAAGTGAAAGAGGAAGATCAGGTTGTGGTATTAATCAGTGAAGGCACTGAGGAAGCAAAAATATCGGACATTTGTGAGAAAGCAAAATTCAAGACTCATGGGAGGATTTGTGGTCACAAGAGAAAACAAGGCTTAAACCACAGCCTGGGTTCTGTTTATGCTGATAGGGAGAGAGAAGTAAGTTTTTTTTTTTTTATGCACCACTGCCCAACCGCATGAAAAGACCAATGTCATTGCTGTGGAACTTTTCTCTTGATCAGAAAGATGCTATCAATGCATGTTCGTGTGGAAAAGAGGTCAGTAGAGGGAAGAGAGGCAGGCACACACATGGGGACTTGTGGTTTCTTAAAGCAGGTGAAAAATAACCATGTGGGAGAAACATCTCTGCTGCATTCAGCCCTAATGCAGTAAGGAAAGAGGTGGAGGAGAGGGGTCAAACATCTGATAAATTGCAGGCCACAAAGGCTGCAGTGAGTGGCATAACATCCAGTATGCCCTTTAGTATCACCCTCAACCCTAATGTTGGGTAGGAAAGTGGAATGAAAGAGTAATACACAGCAAATGACAACCTACACTTAAACACACATTTCAGAGTATAAGAAAAACCATCCTATAATCCCCATGCTTAATACAGAACTGGCAAAAATGCTAGTTGGGGGCTGCAGCCCTTTTGATTTGTTGAGGCAGAGGGCTTTCAGGCACTAATGGAATACACCATTCCCAAGTGGTGCATACCTAGCAAAACCTACTTTTCAGCTAAGGCAATACCACAATTGTACAAAACTCTCTAATAACAGTGTCCAAGGCATTGAGAATGTCAGAGGTGAGGAGCATCCATCTGACCACTGAAATGTGGACTAGTGGTCAGACCAGGGGTGGGCAAACTTTTTTTGGCCTGAGGGCCATATCAGGGTTGCACAACTGTATGGAAGGCTGGGTAGGGAAGGCTGTACCTCCCCAAACAGCATGGCCCCCACCCCCTGTCCATACCCCACTGCCTGTCACCTGACTGCCATGACAGCTGCCCCCCCATAACCTCTGCTCCATCTAACCGCTCCCTGTCCCCTGACTGCCCCCGGAACCTCCCGCCCCCTTACCATACTGGAGCCACCCACGCCACTGCCATGAGTGGTGGGCCAGAGCACTAGTGGCGCAGTGCGCTGAGGCTGCAGGGAAGGGGCTGGGCAGGATGGTACTGTGGGCCATGGTTTGCCCACCTCTGGGTCATGGACTGTGTATCAGCTCATTGAGTATCTCTTCCTTTTCAGTTACCTGTGGCAGCAGGTAGCCAGACCCTTTGGCTACAGACTACAGCCTGCAAAACTGTATTTTCCATTTTGAAAAACCCTACAATCCTTTGTGTATTGGAGAAACTGCAGAATGTTAATGCAGAATGGCTTTCCCCTTGCTCACTTTTAGCAGGGTTTATTACTTCTGACAATGGCACATACCACATTAGTCCCATTAAGGAAGGGGGGATACTTCAATGTGCCATGCTTTGTACACATTTCCTGATGCAATAGTTCATTCATTACTGAACAAAGATGATGTGAAAAACATGCTGGCCATTGCACATAAAGTCTGCAGTCACTTCAGCCATTCCTTTACAGCTGCTTATACTTTACAAGAACTGCAAAGGCAAAATGGCCTTCCATTGCACCAACTACCAAACACCATGGACTAAACCAGTGGTTCTCAAACTTTTGGACTGGTAACCCCTTTCACATAGTGCACCCCCTTATCAATTAAAAACACTTTTTATATATTTAACACATTGTAAATGCTGGAGGCAAAGCGGGGTTTGGGGTGGAGGCTGACAGCTCCCAACCCCCAGTTTGAAAAACGCTGGGCTAGACAAACGGAATTTCACTCTGTATGCTTGAGCAGTTACTGGGGCAATACAAAGCTATTAGTGACTATGCAGTGCCTCAGAGGTATGAAGGAAGCAATCCGTTTCTAACGCTTCCACAGTGGCGTTTTAAGAAGTCTGTAGTAGGCGGAGACCTTTTGATGAAGCTTTCTGATGGGGTGCTAAAAAGATGCTAGTCTTAGCCAAGTCAGTCTGCTCATTAGCCTCCTAGAGGGGGAAAAAAGTGCCACCTGCAAGAACAGTTTGGAGAAGTGGATGTTATTGCAGCAGTATATTGGCTAAATAGTATTTTAGCCATTCTGAAAGAAGGCTCCTATAATTTATATTAGGGGGTCTGAGGAGTACATTCTTGCTTTCTTTAGATCCATGATTTAAAGTACATTACCTGTCTTTCTCCCAGGAGGTGAGCCTAATACAGAATATTACCAAAATGTTCTCTCGGATACAGTTGCTAAATGTATTTCCACTAGAACTGGTGAGAAAACAAGCTCCTCTAGCATCAGGTATCAAATAGAAGAAAGTTGGAGAAAAATTGAAAGATTTCAGTGTTCAGAAGGTGAGATCTTTTTGGGTACCTCATAGGCATCACACTCCACACATTCCAAAATGTCACTCTGGGATTTGCTCCTTGATCTAGATTTGATTAAAGTAGCAGAAAAGGGTACCATGCTAAAAGATCCTGCATCTCTGATTATGAAATGATGGAGGCCTACCTCCAGGAGCAGTTATTTTACACAAAACTGTGAGCCTTTGATCTCTTGGCTTGGTAGGAGAAGGATATGGCTAGCACTAAGCATAGTAGCTATGGAATATCTTCGCTGCCTTCCGGTGTGATATTCATAAAAATGAACAAGCATTTTTTTGCCACTTGACTACACCTTGGAAGATGACCTGGGATATGGGATTAGTGAGGAGGGACTGGGAAGAAGTGCATGATGCCTCTAGTTTTTGGGGGGAAATTACTTCCTCTGAACAATGTATCTCAACTTTTTTTTAGTGTTTGATTTTAATGTGGTATTTTGTGTTCATTACTTTGTGTGGCACAGATATAGGGTGACATTTGATATAAACAGAAGTAATTAAATGTAAATCATGGCAGAGTTTTTAATGCACAACAAGAAAAATCAGTTACATGATTTTATAAGATTGCTGTTTAACAAGATGTAAGACCTTTCAAACTTAAGTTGCTTTGTAAATGAAGCATTAAAACATTACATGCATCAAGCAAAACTTTATACATCCTGTACCAATATTCATTGGATTTGAATGTTGAAGTCTGTAGCAAGCCAGGAAATGAGAAGTTAAAGCTACATGTGAGAATAAACCATATACCTTTTCTCAGATTTTTACCTTCATCAAATTACAGCTGGGCATGGAGGGAAAAATGGAATGGTGCTGCATAAATTCCTTGGTACCACTTACATTGTTTGCTTTTCCAGGATGAGGCAGGCTCCTGCACCCTCTTCATGCAGGGACATTCTACTCTTGCCTGTAAGTAGGCTAGGAAGGATTTGACTGAGTGGTAAATGTTGGCAAACATTGATTTCACTATTTATATGGATAATAAAAATTCACAGATAAGCAGTGTTTTTCTTACATTGCTGGAGCCCCAAGTTTGATTTAAGGATATTAATATCTTTTAATATGTGGTATTAATAGGTGTGCTTATAAACCTCTAACTTTTTTCACCTCAGTGTCTGCTGTCATTAAAAATAGTTGAAGCCTGTGTGCAGTCCTTTGTGCAGCTGAACTTAAAATGAACTTAAAACTGGTAAAAAAAAATGAGACTGGGATTCATCAAATTCTGTATGCTAAGCAGCTCTTTCCCTAAGCTAAGCTGTGGGAGATGCTGATAAGGAATGTGCTCTATGGACAAGAATCCGTCTCCTGCTGTCAAACAGTTTAGGTTCCCCTCAGCTGTTTCTTGTGAATATTAGGCAACTGCACAGAGAGGGGAAATGGAGATGGTGCCTCACAAGTTTTAACGTGGGCGTTAAGAGAACTTTTATAGGGTAGGGATGAGGCAGACCCACATTCAATTCCATCTTCTGCCTGATGGGAAGAGAGGATTAGAAGAGGGTTCTTTGCATGTCATGGGAGAATTTCCTAACCACTAAACTTGGGGGTTACTCTGATAGAGGTCTCCCTCAGTGTGTCTTAGTAAAGCTGTTCTGTGTGTAGATAGTCATTGGATAATGGAGAGTGGATACTTCCTTCCTAGCTCAGGTGTGGGTGCCCTGGCCATCAGGCTGAAAAGTCATTGGGGCTAGAGAGTGAATTTGGATACTTTTAGAGACAAACAGTTTCAGGCAAGATAGGTGGAGAGTGTCCTCCTCTCCTATTCTCCCCCCCCCCCTTCCCCCGGTAGAGCAGTGGGGCTTAGGTAGGAGCCAGGTGGTCAGACACCTAGTGACACTGCAGTGCAGATGCTCAGAGCCAGAAAGTTAGGTGCCAAAGAAACTTTTGCAGCACAAATTTAGGTGTCAAGTGATGTTAGGCACTAGCTGAGCAGGGATTTTGTGGATTCCAGTGGGGCCTAAATCTGGTGTTTAGGCACCTTGCTATCTTTGGGCATCTGGTCCTTAGTGCCTAGCACAAAGCTTGATGAGGGGGCTCTGTGTTGTCCTCAGACATTATCCATGAAAGTGATACATTCCCAGAGTGGAGATGGAAACTTAGAAATGGATTTGGTAGAGTCTAGGCAGAAACAACACTGAGGAAGAAGCAAATGGAAATAAGACATTGCATCAAATGCCAAGGTCCTTTGTTTTCTCAATTGGTCTGTGGCAGACTACCTGTTCCATTCTTTAGTCTAGTTAAGCTATTCTGTTCTTTAGTCCAGCAGTTTTTGAACCTTGGGGCCAAGGCCAAAATCATTTTTACCCCCTTCCCACCTCAGAAAAGTCACTAGGCAACTCCTGGGACCTACAGCAGGAAAGTCATGCTCATGCAGGGGTCAGAATTTCATTTGCTATTCTGGGCCATGCGCTGGAATATAAATTTGCTATATACTCCCTTTAATTCCAAAGCAGTACTTCTGTTGATGTTAGTGGGAGGTTTGCAGAGAGATAAAGACCTTTATGTAATTAAACTTACCCTTATCTATACAATACTTCATTGCTGTACTCAACATTAAACAAAACTTACTTTTAGAACAAATGCTTTTTCTGCCATTTGTTTCTCTTCCTTCCCTGTCTCCCCACTCTGCATTTTCTTCCTTTCCTACCCCATAAAATTAAATACTACATTAAAGTGTCAGCAGTGGGCTTTTTGAGCTAGTTCATCTGGACTAATTGGGGCATGGAATCCACCTTTAAAGGTATGCTGCATGTCTGAACTATACACACCTTATGGCAGTATGTGAACTAGCATAATTAGGAGTGTAGATAGTGAGGCACTGCTTAGGGGAGCGAAGATGCACCTGAATGCTGTAGGTATGTACCTATGTGGCTTGCTACATAGCCAAACAGTACTTCGCCTGCCTGCACTGCTAGTGTTAGCAGTGTAGTATCCCACTGCCAGAAACTTTCCCTGCTACAGTGAAAGGCATTGGCAACACAGAAAGCCTCTCCCAGGTCCCTGCTGCCAGAACTTCTCAGAGAGAGCGGTAGCTACATCTGCAGTGTGGATGGAGCTTTTCTCTGCATCATATACCTAGACATATTCTACATGCTGCCACAATATATGAAGTGTAGCCATAGCTGACGAGCTATTATTTCAGGTTGCCTGCAGGCTCAGGAAGACAACATTGTGTTGACTTAACCATTTCATATTTGGGAAGTTTTCTTTGCAACCAGGAGAGGTATAACCAGTTTAAAAAAACCCCAAAACTTAGTTTCTGCAGAATTTGAATGTCAGGTGTGCTGAGTGTTTGTAACTTCCTGTAGGTGAGGGATGAAAGGAGAAAGCTCACCTTTTCCTGCAGTTCTTCCCTTCCTCTGACCTCTCCTACAACTACTCAACACCAAGTGAAATATGGAGACAATAAGCCTATACTGTAGAACTCAGGCAGCTCTGCAATTTATTTACTTGAGAGCTGCAGGGGATTGGGGAGGACTGATATGCTGCAGCAGGAGTGAGTCTTCTCCCTTCTGATAATCCCCTGCAGCACTGCCACATGTTGTCCACTACCTTGCATTGCCTTCCCACTCCCATCTTCAGTACATCCACCACCCATAGGGCTGTTTCTGACTGTAACCTCAGTCTTGTAGTCACAGCAACAATCACAGTGCTGGTTTTGTGATTCTAGGTGGAGGATAGTTGAGGTTAACAGGACCAGAACGTGATAACTATTCAGCTTGTAACTGAATAAAGGGTGAAAGTTTGGGGAATTCAAAATAAATCTTTTGCTTATCTTGTAAGATTCCTAAAGAGGGAGAAAGCAGCTGAAATATATGTAATATGTTAAGTGAATGTAATTAATGTCAGACAATTCTCACCAGTTTTAGCTGCTTCCTGGTTTCTGTAGTAGGGTGAGTGACATCACAAGTACCATAAACAAAATTTTGAAGGAAATATTCCATCCTCAAACCCTGTTTTCTTCATTTGCTTTATTATTTGTAAGATCACTCTAGGAGAGAAATTAAGAACTCCTGCTCTTTTTGCATTCTATAGGAAAGAGGTGTAATTTTCTTAAAATACAGAGCACTATAAGTTTGTAAATAACTATATTTTACTCTAATCAAACATGCACAATTAACTTTATTAGCAAAACTTGTATTTTTAAAAAAGCAACTACATTTAAACAATTGTTGTTGCCAGTATGCTTTGTCTGCTGTATCCTAAACTAAGTACATTTCTTTTATCCTGTCTGGTTTGAATCTGACTCTTCTACTTGGGGAAATACTATTACTATTCCAGAAAATTGCCTATCTTCAGTTCCAAAGAACAGAATGAAGAGACATTAACTGTTAAGTTGTTGGTCTGACACTGAGGGGACACTGGTTAGAAAGAACTAATGCTTCCTATTGCACACATCCTTCACATAAGCTAAGGGCAGACTAGACACTAAACATTTAGTGGGCAAGAACAAGTTAACCCATGAGAATATAAATTTTAAATGGTAATACTATAGCAGATACCATGATGAAAAATTTAATTGCAAAAATCCTTTTACAGGGAGCCATGCCTGGATTCTTAAGAGTTAAATGGAGGTGCTTCTGACAAAAAGTAGATTCTCCTATAAGTTCCGACAGTAGTGAAAATACTGAAAAGGCTACAAAAGAGGCAAAAAATTGTGTTCAGGTATCCTGTCCAAGAAAGTTTTGAAATCTATTTAAATTTCTGCATTTAAGAACTTAGTATTGCTCTGGAATTCTATATTGACCTAATGACCTGATCCAACTCCTAATAGAAATCATTTGGGCCCTGAGCCTCTTTATTTCTGGTTTATGTTTTATAAAGTACATGCTTATTTGATAGCTGATAAGGAGGGCATTCATTATGGTGTATACTAACATTGTGTTTCCCCTGTTTTCCATCTAGTAGTAAAACCACAGCTCAGAATGGGAATCCTACGGTCACTTCTTAACTTTACTCACATGAAAGTGTTAATAACAAAAAAAGAACAGGAGTACTTGTGGCACTTTAGAGACTAATAAATGTGTTAGTCTCTAAGGTGCCACAAGTACTCCTGTTCTTTTTGCAGATACAGACTAACACTACTGCTATTCTGAGAAATAACAAAAAAGTACATAACACTTACATATAACTGCAAATGTACAGCGTTAAAAATATAAGGGCCAAATTCCGCCACCCTGATGCACATTGAGTAGTGCTGTACATATGAATAGTCCCATGGATTGCAGTGGCACTAATTCCAGAGGAAGGTTCTTCTCAACATGAGGAGTTACATACAGTAAGATGTTCACTGCCCAGAAGCGTTTACAGTCCTTCTGGGTCAATGGAAGATTTGCTGTGATTGAATTTTAACTTCAATATACTTTGTAAAGTAAGCCTAGCTAAACTAGGAAAGTCGTATGAAATCACTGAGTATGTTTTATGATTAATATCTGCATGCATGAATATGGAGAGGAACAAAATACCTCCACCAATAAAGAGCAACTGATATTTCTTCGAGTGGCTTTGCATATTCCCATTTCTGGGTAATGCACTGCCTGGTGCAGTCATCTCAAAGAACCTGGGTTACAAGTAAGTAACACTCATTTTCTTTCAAGTTTTGTATCTGTAATAGTTCCAGAACCCAACATTTAAATAAAATAAATTCCTTTAAAAATACAACTTTATCACTTCACGTATATATTCATGCTAATTATGTGTTGTAGTATAATCTGCATCTGTACTACACTGGATAAACTCCATCTGCATTTTGAGAGTTGGCCAC